GAATATATAAATAGACCTTACAACTCAATAATAAGACGATGTGAAAGACGGCCAAAAGGTTCAACAGATACTTCAACCAAGAAAATTTAAGGAAGTCAAATAAGCATATGAAAAGAAGTTCATATTCATTGGTTATTCAGGAAGTGCAAATTCACACCACAGGGAGGTACCACCATACATCCATTAAAATGGTTAACTTTACGAAGACTGACAATATTAAGTGTTAGTAAAGAGTTGGAAAAAATGTAAGTCTCACATATTGAGGGTGGGAAAGCAAAATGGTTCAACCACTTGGAAAACAATTTGGCAGTCTATTGTAAAATTAAACATACATCTACCTTACAATCCAGCAACCCCACTCTTAGGTATTTACTTACCCAAGAGAAATGAAAACATATGTTCACGCAGAGTGTACACAAATGTTCTTAGTAGCTTTATTCATGCTAGCCGAACATTGAAAATGACACAGATATCCACCAGCCGTGAGTGGATACACAAATTGTGGTATATCCACACAGTGGAATAATACTCAGCAATAAAAGAGAAAGAAAGAAGTTCTGACACGTGCCACGATGGGGATGAACCCAAAAGCATCATGCTAAGTGAGAGAAGTCAGACAGAAAACACTGATGAGGATCCAGGCTGCCCCGGGGAGAGAAGTCCAAGGCGTCCTGCCCTGCATACTCATCTATATCATCCGCCGGGAAGCACAGGACGTCCTGACCTGACCCAATCTGATTCCTATCCAAAGTTATAGGACCACCCAATAGCCAGACCCCACCCGCACTGATACCATTTTAATGACTTTTTTTACATGATCTTTCCTTTGTCTCTCACATACCTATGCCTTAAATTTAGCCTTACCCTCAACTGATGTTGGCAGCTCTTAAAGCCCATGGGTCTTGTCCCCATGCCTGCAGCTCTTACTGCCCATGGTTCCTGTCCCATGCTATTCTCTGAATAAAAGAGCACTACTGCCAGACCTTGAGAGTCCAAGAAACCTTTCTTTCGACTCTTCAACTCACCGAGCCCGCATCAACACCACATACTCTCCGATTTCATTTACATGAAATCCTACAGCTCGGCAGTTGTGCAGGGCTGGGGGAAGGGAGGTATTAACTGTAAGGGTAAAATCCCAAGGGAATTTTGAGGGTGAAAGTAGTTTTAAAAGTCTTTGTTGTGGTGGTTCCATGACTGTATATCTGTACAAAAACTCAGGAAACCTTACATTTAAAATGGGAAAATTTTACAGTATGTTATATCTCAATCAAAGTGCCAAAAAAAAGTGCATCTGAGCATGACGAAAATATCTATCTACAGAGTGCCAGGGGCTGGGTTTGTCATGGTGGGGTGCTGGCCTTCTTACTGGGGTCAACTTGCAGCAGCCGTGAGGGGCAGGGCTCCTGAACTCCGGGTGTGACAGCATCATAGCCAGGGATGCTGGGACGAAAACAGCCTGATGGCTGTTTCTCCCACCTGATGGATTCCTGCTCAAAATGCCACTGCCATTGGATTCAAAGTTCTTCCATAAAACTTAGTGTCGGAGGTGAAACTCTGGGGAGTGGGGTGTTGGGAGACAAGACGGACTGGGAGATAGCTCAACCACCACCCTCAACGTGACCAGATGCCTGGGAGTGGGAGGAGAGCGACAGCCGGTGGAGGGAGACGGTGCTGGTGGTGTCTTCAGACAAGTGGCCACATCTCTTTTAGGGAGAAGGATGTTAATATCGGATGTTTTGTCCTTTGTCTTGCCGCGAGGTACATTCATATTAACTCTCCAAAATAATTTCAGGAAAGACAGTGTGCAGAAGGTCCTAAGTGAGTACTTGGTTGTGGAAATTAAGGGTATGCACTGGGCACCTGGGTCAGAGGGATGCCGAGCTGTCAGAGGGGCTGCCACATGAAGCTGAAAAAGCCCAGAAGAAGCGGCCAGCTGGAGTCACCACCCCTGGGCCCCCAGGCTTGTGCCTTGCACAGGCGGCCGAGAGGGTGATCTACGATGAGCATCGTTCTGTGGAAGGAGACACTTAGAAGCAGAAGGGACCACGCGGGCAAAAGCACTCTCTCTGCCTCTCTAGGGCTGACAGGTCCTGTTTCAGCTTCCATCTGTCCCTGCCACTAATGGTTTTTGTCTCCTTCGAAATCCATGTGGTGGAAGAGGGTCAAGCCACAGTCTAGATGGTCTCAGAGCTCCAGAGCCACCACCTGTCAACCGGAAGCTCAGGTCCAGATTTTAAACTCTCAGGAGAAAGACGGTGGCAAGCCCACTGGGGTTAGCACATGCCCTTGGTCCAATCCACAGCGCCCTGGCTGGGAAGCCAGGTCTCAGTCCTCCAGCAGAGCCCTCGGGGCATGGACAGTTTGGGGGTGGGGAGTTCCCAAGGGGTCTATGCTAGCCCATGCCTCCACCTCCCCAGGCTGCAGCCTGCCCACCTGGGCAATGACTGTTTCCTCCAGCATCCTTTTAAAGCTCCACAACAATGGAATTCTGTGACTCTGTGTATCTCCTCTGGTCCCCAGAAGTGGCTAGTTTTGTCTGTTAATGATCTAAGGACCTCAGAGAGTGTGCTTGCCAGGAAGGAGCTGCCACAAGGGGGAAGAGTTGGCAAACCCAGCTGTCCAGACCTGAAGATATTTTAAGACTCTGTTTCTCCTTCCATAGTCTGTGAGGGGCATGTTCCAAGGGTGATTGCTGGCAGGAAGCTGCTCCTTCCAGTCTTTCCTAGCAGCCCCCCACCCCACCCCTCCACCTTGCAGTGTGCAGATTTCTACTTAAATTCACAGGGAGAGTTCTCCTAAAGGAGGCTGTTCCAGCACAGCGCTCCACCTGAGAATGGCATTGCACTGACAACCATGACAGACCGTGGGTGGGATTTCCATTCCCTTCCCTCAAGCTTCAGTCAAGAGAACCCTAGGAGATGCAAACAAGGACTTGCTTCCAGATCCTCGGTGTCCTCCACAGAACGTGTGTGCCTGCCTTGTCTGCCGCCCGAGAGCAAAGAGAGGACCCATGTGAAAACCCATGCTGAACAGTGGTCGAAATCCAGAACATGTTCCTTGATGTGAATTTCAGTGGCCAGGCTGAACTACGCTTCCAGGAGGCGGGGCCTGGGGCCAATAGCTGACTCATCCCCATCTTTCTCCAAAAGATCAGAACAGAGCTTCTTGAACCTCTCAGATTAGCTGAGGACACAGAAAAAGCTGCATCTTCTCCTGGCCAAGGTATGAATTTAACTTTGGGGGGTGTGTGTGGCGGGGGGAGGCGGTGTTCTTCCCATGCAACTTTGGAGCAAGTGCAGCAAAATGGCATTTCCTTTGACAAGCAAGGTCGAGGTGGGGGTTGCGGAGGTGCTCAGGGGTCCTTGTTAGCTTGTCCCCAGAGCCAGAGGAGGCCCACCATTCTGGCACCTGAGGAGCAGGAAGAGGGACAGGATACCATCGGTGTCAGTAGGCCATGCGCATTTATAGTCCAATCTAGGACCAGTTACACTATTGGCAGGGCCCAGTGCAAAATGAGAATGCAGAACTCTTTGTTCAAAGATTATGAAGAATTTCAAGATGGTGACAGCAGGAGAATAAACCAAGAGTGGGGTCCTAGTGAGACTGCAGAGGTGACACACCCACGAAGCTGGCCCTGATTAGATCTCATTGATTTACACCCAATTCATGCACGAATTTCCTCTTCAGCCCTTGCCTCAGCACCCTTGCCATGGTCATCCCTGCCTTACCCTGTCTCCTGGCCATATCACTGTTGCCTCCCTCTTGATGTCTAGCTCTGTGTCATGCACTCAGGAAGGACATTATAACTGCTGGCTGAGTGGGCCTGAGATATTTAACATTTGCCTAAATACTAGAATGGTTCATCTAATGAAATCTCCACGTTTGCTTTCATGCCATGGTTCCTCAGCAAACGCTGGTCAAGAGCTGCGGCCTGATAGGTATTTGCTTCCATCCCATAGTAGACATTCCTTCACACTGACTCATGGGGCATGGCGCGGTTGAGGGGTTCACATCAGAGAACCCTGCAAAAGTTCCACCCCGAGGTTTTCCTGAGCTTCCCTGTGACAAGCTGCCCTCCACAATGGCCCCAGAGGACCTGCTGCCTGAACTTCTGCTCCCAGAAGATAAGTGAGCCAAACCCAGCCCAGGCCAGGACCTGCACAACAGAAGTCACGAGAGCGAGGACTAGTGTCAGGTGGCAAGAGTGTCCAGGAGCAGAGCCATGTGACATCAGATTAGGACACTCTCTCCAACAGCCAGGCTGTCCATAGGAGGAGAGGAGAGGGTGACACCCTTAGGGACAGCAAGGAAGGCACTTCTGGGCTGGGAGAGCAGTGGCATTGGATCAGTGGTTTGCCAGTTTAGCCTTTCTCCTCACCCCGCACTTCCTCGTGGTCGACATATATTGCCAGGCCCTGCTCTAAAAACACTATATGGGTGATGACAACAACCCCAGGAGATATATACTACTTTTCCTCCTTTTGTAAGAAAAGCAACAGAGGCTCAGAGCACTGGTGGAGCCCAGATGTGAAACTGGTGTTGTAAGAGCAAGCTTGCTTTATTACTCTACTCCCCACCCACGTCCAATCCAGGGAAAAGTTTTAAAAACAAAAATGCCCAGGCTGCTTGTCCATAGATTCTGACAAATTTGGTCTAGTAGCCTATGCACACTGCAAACCTGCCCCAGGCTCGAGGGTTAGTGTTGGGAGTGGCAAGGCTGGAGAGCCTCAGAGGTCCCCCCCAGTCCCGAGATTCCCTGATGCTCTGAGTCCACCTTTTGTACAAAGGATGCTTCATTCGTGCTTTGCAGTGCGGCTCAAATTCCACTTCCCTCTTCCACTCTCAGAGCCAGATCTAATCACAGGGCCATTTCCCCCTGTCTTTTGTGGCTCACAAAGAATAAAATTAGCCAAATGGATAAAAGCTTGTTGTAGGCATATGTAGAGCACTTCAAAGTCTATTTATCAAAAGACTGACCACTGCGTTTATAGCATGGAAGCTCCAAGTGCACAATGACTCCGTCATTTAATTTTGAGGAGAAAAAACATTCAACAGAGAGATGCAAAGTCATAGCCAGCAACTGGAGAGTTTTTGCACTGGACATGTTTCTCTTTGCAGAGACAGCCAAGTTCAACGTCGTCCACCCTGCGGGATGCTCTCCTCCCACCCTCAAGTGCCTGATCCTGAAAGGGAAGAACAGTTTGGCTGTGTTAGATGTTGCCTTGTCTCTCAGCACCCCAGCTCCTCGGTCTCACCAGGTTGGGTCACGTGACCTGAGTCCAGGAAATACCCCTCCCCACCAGATGCCATTCCTCACTGGTCACCTCTCTGCTGTCATCACTCCCCATACCTAGAGTGTGGTCAAAGGCAAATGGCGCCAGCAGCAGTGGACACAGAGCTGCTGGGAGGCAGCAAGCCGGTGCTCACCTTTCAGAACACATGTTCATTCGATCCATCAGTCAAAAAATGTTGGTTGAGCCCCTACTTTTCCAAAAGTTGCCCTATTCTCTGTGGGTTCTACCCACTGAATTCCGTTTCATGCTAGTGTTTCCAATGGAGCAGCAGCACATTAGGCTCCATAATCCCAACGTGATGTTTCCATTTGCACCCACTGAGGCATCTCTGTGGCAATATTCCCTTTCTGTGCATTATTTCTGGGTACCCAGAGCTGCCACGCAACTCCTGCCTCCGTCGGAGCGCAACCATGCTGACCACTGGCTGCCTCTTTCACACGCAGCCAGCGGAGTTCCTGTACCTTAGGGTGGGCGCTTCCGGGACGGCCCTCTGCAGGACATCACATCTGTTGACTCTGCTTTCCCAACGCCTCAGTACTTGGCCAGACACCTCCAAACCAGCTAGACGCTGGGGACACATTCAATAATGGACTTCTGACGGGTGACACTGAGACAAGCTCCCTTTCTCCTATCATCTTCACATCTTCCAGATACGGGAATTTACACACACACACGCACACAAGTACACTAGGTGAGGGTGTCACCACACAGTACCTTTCCTTCCCCAAAGCCGATTCAACAAGTCTTCCTGTTAAATCTGGAAGTAGGGCTGAGTGCTGGCTGCATGCCAAGAAGTGAAGCACATACGAGGAACGTGTGAGACACGATTTCTGCCTCGTGGCAGCCCATAAGCTGCGCCACCAGACTTGAGAGACTGCCGGCCATGGCAGCCAGCAGCCCCGCCCCCACCAGTTCCAGGAAATGGCCTGGCTCAGGAATCCCTCCGCCCCGACACTGAATGATCCTGTCCCTCTTGAAAAGTGTCCCAACTGCAGCCAACCGCCAAACGTCCTGAAGACCAATTAGCAAGTCTCCGCGCTCCCAAAGCCCCACCTTAACGGAGCCGCTGCCAATCCGAGAAGCTCTGTATTTCCTTTTTCCTCTGAAATGTACTCTCCTTTCTAACGCCCTTGAACCCTTGCCCACAAAAGTGACGCAGATGGGTTCCCTTGCTGTACAGTTATGAATAAACAGATGGTTAATTTTGTCTCAGACTTAGTTCTGCCTTTGTTGGACTTAACTCCTAAATGACACGACCATAGAGCAGAAGGAGTCAAGATAGAAAGGGGTCCTGTAGGTGTTAGAGAAAGGCAGGAGAGGATGGGCTGGGACAGCGTCCAGGGGTTTCTCAGAGGAAGTCAGAGTGAAGGAGGCCTTGCAGTCGGAGTTGGGTAGACCAGCAGGGGACAATGAAAAAGGATGGATGGGGAGGAAGGCAGAGGGTGTTTCTGCGAAGAAGAGCCAGGGCAGAGGTGAATGAGGGCGGTACTGCATTCCTTCCCATGGGGAATATGCTTCTGAAATGTAAACCCCAAGTCAGGAGAATTCACAAACAACTGAGTAAGATATCCTGGGGAAAGGGCATTAGCAGACCAAGCGCTTAAACGAGATCGTGGAGGCCCTCGTGTTAAGTATTTCTGGCGGTACCTAAATAAAGTCAGGGCAGTTATACTTTTCCCATCTTCAGTCAGTGATGGTGGGTGCCGGACAATCCCATGCCGTTTACAAGCTTTACTCTCTGGAATATTTTCTGAATCTCTCATCTTTAAATTATCAAGAGGTGCTTGCGTGTGTTTTATGTTGCTTTACTTTCAGTCAAATGCTTTCATTCAATCGATTGATTGATCAGTCAACAAATGCATACTGAGTACTCACCATGTGCTAAGCACTGCTCTAGGCCTGGGCTTGTAGCAGTGTTAAAAAAAGGATGCTGTGCTCATGAAATTGACGTTCTAGTGGGGAGACTGATACCTTCTCCTCTTTGTTCCTTTTCTGCTTTCTCGCTCCTAGCATTCCTACTAGGTCCTTCTTCCAGTGCCTCTGGCAGGATGTTTCATGCTAGCTGGTTCTCGGTCAAGTCCCTCTGTGGCATCATATGCACAAGTACCACAAAATGGCATATCATAAATCTGCTTCTGCCAGAAAAGAATCCAGGCATGTGGGTGTGGTCATAGCGTGGACTTCTACAAAAAGAGTGGGGAAAGAGGTCTAGGACGTGGGGCTTAGAGGCGTGCTGGGCAAGCGATGCACACTGGAGTGTCAGGAGCTTAGGACTTCCCAGGACTTGTGAATTTAAAGGAGGATTCAGAGGACACAACTCCAGGCACTAGAATGAGGCTGTGATGCATCCACTCGTTTAGCCAACATTTAGTTAGAGCTGCTAAGTGGCAGGTGCTGTGCTGGGTACTGGGCCTGGGAAAGCAAGAGTAAGCAAGACAGAGGAGGTGCTTGAACATTTTGCATCCAGCGGTGGAGACAAGTTAGCAAGCAATCACATGTAAGGGTGATGAGTGCCATGACACACAAAAACTAGAGACTCTAGAAAATTCCACAGGGGCATCTGCCCTGGTCTAGGTGAGGAGGTTTGAGTGAGGCTCCAACAAAGAAGAGACCTTTAAATCCAGCTCTGAAGCACATACAAAGGGCACTCAACATGCCTTGTATGTTTGCAAGAAATTCCATGTAACGTCAGAGTTCTTGAGGATAAACACTAGATGCTGACTCTGGGTAACTTCAGAGGAAAAGGAGTTTATTAGAAGCACATTAGATAGCTTATCGAAGGACAAAAGGCTGAGGAATCAGGTGGGAGCCAAAGGAAGCTGGACTGCCAAGAGCCCAGTCAAGCTTACACCATAGGAATGGCTCATTAGGACATTGGCACCAATGCCGCCATCACTGGGCACCCGATTGGTCCATCTGAGTCACGTGATCTTAAGTAAGGGGGCCAGCAAGCAAGGAAAGGGACCATCTACGTCCCTTTGGGTGTAGATTCACCCTGGGGGATTCCCCCATATCAAAGTGAACTATTCAGATGATATGCAACCAGCACATGACAATGCCGCTACATTCTGTGTAGCTGGAGCACAGCGTGTAAGAGGAAGGTGGCGAACCCCCATTGGTAATTAGACACCAGTAAGTCAAGGCCTTTCAAAAACAGGTTAAGGAGTTTGGGCCTTATCCTTGAGGGATAGTAGTGGCCTGAGGTAGAACAGTGGTGGTGGAGCTGGAGAGATGCCCAGGGATCTGACAGGTCCTTAGGAAAGAGGATCAGTGTGAGGGAGAGGAAAGGCTTCAGAATGACCCTTGGGCCACTGTTTGGACTACAGGGTGCTTGTGATACACTCCATGGGTATAGGGACTCCTGGAGAGCAACAGTTTGGGGGACAATGGGGAGGGGCAGAGCCGAATGTCTGTGGGGCATCTGAGGGTCCTTGCCCAGTGGGGCTCAGGAGAGACAACTGAGCTAGAGAGGGCAAGCAGGGGTCAGCTGCCAGGGAACGGGGAGGTCAAGGTCCTAAAGGACATCATATTTACATATTCGGCAGAGGAAGAGGCACTAAGGGGGACTTGCCCTGGGGGTGGGCTATGAAAGCAGATGGATTGGTTTTGGAAGAGGGCAAACAGGTCGCCAGGGCCAAGGGTGTGTAGAGGTGAGTTGACATCAGTGACAGTTGGGTTTAGTGACAGGAAATGCATGGTACAAGCAGCTTCAGAAAAGAGAAGCAGGGAGAGTCGGACCACTGTGGATTTAGAGGGGAGAAACAGCACGTGTGCACATAGCTCTCCCACCCAAGAAATCTGGCAGCAAGGGTGAACTTGTAGAGAGCAACAGCTGGAGGTGGCTGTGAGGTTGAGAAAGAATTCCTTCTTAAATACGAGAGGCTGGAGCACATTGAAGTGCTGGCAGAAAGGAAGCGGGGTAACCTACGTTTATTTTATGCTTGTGACGTGCTGGCCGTTACTGCGCGTCTCTTTATATGTATCATCTCTTTTACTCTTGAAAACAAGGGCATTAGGTGGAAACTATTATTATCTCCATTTCACAGATGGGGACACAGGCACAGGGAGGCTGGAGGCCACCCCAAGTTTACAGGCGGTCTGGCTCTGAGACAGAGCATCTAAACATCATGCTGAAGATGACCCACAAGGAAGAGAGCAGTCTGAGATGGAGCAGAGGGTGGAGATTCTGAGGGCCCCGGAGGAGGCAAAGGGCGGGGACCCCACACCCAGCTGGAGGGATTAGCTTGGACGGAGGAGCCCCTCTCCTCCTTGACACGCAAGGGAAGACAAAAGGATGGGTTTTGGCAAAGTAGAGTGGCAGGTGAGGTGACAGGGCTTCAGGTGTGGTCCAGCCTGGTGGCTTTGGTTTTGTCCTTAAAGTAAGAGTCTAGATCATCTGCTGAGAAGGAAGGGCAAGACGAGGAGGTGGTTCATGGATTTGGGGAGGATGGAATCAGGAATGATTGTCAACCAGCAAAATCTAGGAAGACCGTGGGCAATTTGGAGGCTGTGGTCTGGCTGGCTGAATCCCCTTTGGGGGTGACATCTCAGATGTCCCCTCTCCTTGCCTGTTGCTTCCATCCACAGAGTGCCTCATCTTTGGTCCTTCAGCAGGTTTGCCGGGGGCACCAGGGAAGAGGTTTGGTTCAGAAGAGCCATCCTGGGAGGCAGCTCAGAGACCAGGGTTTTGCAGATTTGTGGCTGGAGGAGTGTGGGAAGGAGAAAAGAGTTCACCCGGGAAGGGACCGGCTGGGAATTGTGCCCGATAAACTGTTCTTCCCTAGGGTGAGGTCACACCTGATGGATGGCAGAAGGTGAATTTCCCTTTGGTTTGTTTTAAATTTTCTATTTTATGAGATTCTTGATCAGTGGATGAGCCTAAGGTCCCTGTCACAGACACGTCCATGGCCTCTTCTCCACTCCCTTCCGGGTGCCTCTTCCTTCCCAGAACCTGCATCAGTTCACACCACCAGCGGGGCTGGTGGCACAGCAGCACCCATCACCAGTGTCTTCTCAGGACCCTGTCCTGGTCCACCCTGCTGGACCGACACATAACTCGGGCTACCCTGATTTCTTCCACACATCCTTCGGCTCGTCTTGCTATTTTTGAAAACTAGAGAAGGAGACCAGGATTGTTGGGGAATCTGTGTGGAGTTGGGCAAACCCAGCCATATTTTGGATTTTTTGCCTGCTTAAAAAATATTTTTCATTGTTTTGAGTTTGATGAGAATGTGTTTTCCCATTAATTTTTAAAACAGAATGGATCCATATGTTTTCTGATTCCTGTCTGCTTCACTCATCTTCCTGCTCTGACAGAGCATTTGATGTCCAAGGCACCTGTCTAGATGCCTGTCCCCCGGGCTGGCGGCAGAAGGTGAGGAGCTGAGGAAACGCTCGTGGCCAGGAAATCTCGGGGTCCATTTGGACTTGTAACCGGTCATCTTTGGTTTGCTCAGAAAACAACTCTTCCCAGGGCAGAGGGTTTCTGGGCCCTTTTTTGTTTTGGGGAGACTGTTACATGTCCTCGCACCCTGAGCATCCCTAAAGTCAGAAGTCAGACTGTGGGGTTCGAAGGTAGCCGCTGCCTTCTGAGTGAGCCGGAGGGGAGGGAACAAGACGTCTGTTTCCTGGCAAGGCTCAGGTCCACCCAGTGGCCGCGGCAGAGGGGATCTCCCCCGTGTCTTTGAGCAGTTGTAGGAGAGACTGGACATCAGCCTGCATTTCCCCCCAGACCTCGGTAATGCTGGAGTGAGTCTGTCATTCTGCGTCCTGAAAGGGGACCCAGGACACCCCTGAAGACTGGAGAGCAGAGCCTCCACCCCCTGGAATGCCCCCAGCCCCAGGGATGCCCTGGCCAGTCAGCTCATGAAGACGAGGTGCCACCTCCACGGTCAGGCCAGC